CGTGCGAAGTCCGCCCACTTTTTCCCCGGTGGCGAGGCACTTCAATCAAGGTTGAAGAGAGCCGTTTGTCAGCTCATCAAACTGATTTAATGGCAAGAGGACCACGCACATCACGTACAAGCAATTAAAATAGTTTTCCAACTAAGCAATTATCACAATTAAGTAGAGATTGGCTGGCCACGAACACGCATATTCTAATAGAGAACTTCACTAACTAGGTTATTATTATAGGAGAAGTTCACTGATATTTGACTTGGTCTGGAATCAAGTCTGAAATTACCCGCCATAAATTGGGGAGAAGCAATCTCGAAGCCAAAAAGGCGACACAGATTCTAGCCAATTCTCCACCATATTTGCTTATCACATTCAGATGGCCCAGAAAAAAAAGCGGAGAGGAGCCAGCAAATACAAAGAAATTGTATGGCATCTGGCGGAAACGAGGGATGGTCAACAAAGGGCATCAAATTACTTGGCTCGCTCGCAAAGTGGTTAATTTCTGGCTTGGTTGGGGTGGGCGTGGCCAGCGGGAGGCGGCATAAGCCAATTTGTCTTGTATTGTGCAGTTAATAAATAGTTGAGATGTTGTTTTGGCCTCTTTGAGTGCTTGAGATTTATTTATTTATTTGGGATTTGCCTGTTGATAAAGTGCATTAAATGTAGTTCTCGAGTGGGATTTAAGGGGATTAGGTACTTTTGACATATTTATAACAAGTATGGTTTTGTCTTTTCTTTTTTATTTCAATTTAAGACGCACTAGACAGGATTTAAGAACAGCCTCATTTAAATAAAATTTAAAGTGTGTGTCTTACATTATTTGTATTTAGTGTATATCTAAGAATATTTAATATGGGTAAACCATTTTCTAATAATATGTACTTTAAGTAAGAAATGGCAACCATATTTTAAATAGAAACGTTAATAATCCAGTCTGTTAAAATGGAGCAACCCAAAGGATCCCTTGCCAGCTAGACTTGGCCATCCATTACAAATGTTTGCACACTATCCGGTTGAATTACTCACTCCTAAGTTTACCGGTTTTTTTTTTATTTTTGTGCTGGCCGTGTTCGTTAACCCTTTTCTCGGCCATCGCAGCCTGACAGCCAGGAGCTGCCAGTGGAGAATGTAATAAAGAGCTTACAATTTATGACACCTTTCCAGGAGTGGCAGCCTTTTGCCGGCGAGGAGTCCTTCTTGTCACCTCCTTGTGGAAGGAGGAGAGATTCCATCGGAGTTCAAAGGCAAACTGCTGGCACCTGTTGATTGCCACCTGTCATCTGTGCATATTTTATCATTTTCGGCTTTGGTCGAAAACAATGTCTGGATTTCTTGTCGGACAATCCGGTTCCCCAGGCTCAACAATTGAACAAGACATTCGTAGGCCGGGCTTAATAACATAATCTAGTGGGATATAAAAGGTGCAACTATTCCAGAGTCTCGTATTAATTTCATTATTCCTTGTCTTTTCTTCTGGGCCTTTTTCTGTCAGTTTAATTGCCTGGAAAATTGCATGGGGCAGCTAATTAGGTTTTCTCCTGGCAGGATAAATTATTTGACAGGTGCTGCCCTCGCATTTGACCCATCCACCACCGAAATGGAAATGTATAATGTTTTTTCGTTTGCGGGCATGTTATTGTGTCAACGTCTTCATTTGATTGTTTTCGTTTGCTTCGGTTTGTTTGTGCGATTGCGTGTTTGTGGGCGCCCCAAATTGTGGCATTGACATTCGCCGGAAGCCAAGGAAAAACATTTGCCGACGGCTTCTGCCCGACACTTCTGTCTGGTATTTGTAAATCAGTTTTTACCCGTGGTCCAAGCCTCAATTTTGTTGTTGACTTGCCAACTCGAATCAATACTGCCTATACACACATGTGGTTTCAATTAAATTTGATTAAACTCGATATGTTTCGATTTAAACTTTCCCATAGGATAAATTACCACACAGGACAAAAATAGAAGTCGGTATTAATGTCATGTTTGCTTGGCAAATTAGGATATGCAGAAGGATCTAACATTTCATAATTTAATATCTCATGCGAGAAGTTGAATTTTAACAAGAAAGGAAGCTAGCTTTGGCAAGCCGAAGCTTATATACCCTTGCAGTCATCAAATATGTCGAACAAAACTCATAAAGGCTAGACAACATCGAAGCTAAGACGATTTTTCTATTCATTTTGCATATTTTTGACTATAGATCATATGAGAGCTATACGATATAGTTGTCCGATTTTGATCAAATTTAATTCGTAATTCAAGAGTCGTAAGAAAACTCTATATTCCAAAAATCATACTTGTCTGATGAAAAACAACGATGTTATAATTTTATTTCCATTATTTCTATATAGATTTTTCGATCTTTCCTATGGCAGCTATAAGATATAGATGACCGATTTTTATGAAACTTTTTTCTCAATATAAACGTTGTTAAAAAACTTTATATTCAAAAAATCATGCTCGTGGGATAAAAAACAACGATGTTATCAATTTATTTCCATTAATTCTATATATAATTTTCGATCTCTCCTATGGCAGCTATATGATAGAGTTATCCGATTTTGATCAAATTTAATACGAAATTCAATAACAGTTAGGAAACGCCATCTTGAAGAATTCAAGTCGATCTGATCAAAAACAACGGAGTAAGAATTTTTTATTTCATTCTCTCGTATGGGAGCTATCCGATATAGTCGGCCGATCCGGCCCGTTCCGACTTATATACTGCGTGCAATAACTACACACATTTTGGGAAAGTTTCAGCGAGATAGCTTTAAAACTGAGAGACTAGTTTAGGCAGAAACGGACAGACGGACAGACGGACAGACGGACAGACGGACAGACGGACAGACGGACAGACGGACAGACGTACAGACGTATTCCGATTCTACTCGTGATGCTGATCAAGAATATATATACTTTATGGGGTCTGAGGTGTCTCCTTCACTGCGTTGCAAACTTCTGGCCAAAATTATAATACCCTTTGCTCTGCAAGGGTATAAAAATAGACGGCAGCTGAAGTAATTATTTGTTAATCATAAACATACATCTCTTTAAAATATTAATGCTGACTTTGTAGTAAAAAATATTCATTTGCCACCTTCAAAATTTTTAAAGCAATTTAATTACCTTGGTCGGCAAATGTGTCAAAATTAATTCTAAAGTGAACGCACATCTGTTTAATTAATGCAATTTCCGTTGCTTTATTGTGGTTTAGCATCACCTGTTGAAATTATTTATGCAAATTGAGCAGGACAACAAATGTTGGCAACGGATGTGTGTGATAGGCGGAAACGGATGACAAATGTTCCAATAACTCTATTCTGCCGAGTGTGCATGTAGTGTTGCCTTTTGACGTTAGTAGCTCGCTATTTTTGGCCGAAAGTTCAGGATCTTGAATAAGCAACGAAAAAATTAAAAATTAAAAAGTAACTGAGCAACGTTTCCGGGTAAAAGAATAGCTTTCATTGTGGCCGCTGGAACAAGGAAAAACACTCGAATCTCGTTCTGCATTATAGATGACAAACTTTCGGAACAATTCCTGTGTAAAGTTCTTGAATCCAAAATGGCCTGCATTGCGTCAATCCAAATAAAGATGTTAAAAATAAAAACTCTATGGATTAAAAAGACAATCAATAGTTGAAGAAATCTATTTGGACACGTACTGCGAATTACTTTAAGATCATAGGTTAAAATATTCTGACGAAGAACAAAACAATAGAGTCTTAATAAGACTTTAATTCCTTGAATATATCACGGCTTTCATAATGCGCAAATTAAATGCAGTTGATTAATATCCAATAAATCAGATTGTTTTCATTTAAATGCATTTTATTGAAATGTCAACATGGTCGCAAATGACAATACCATACAAATTGACTCTTTTAAATCAATTATTTATACATTTAAAAGACATTTTGGTTATAATTAATTATGTATATATTTGCGAACAACAAATAAAGGAAATGCCACAAACAACAACTCTTTAATGTTAGTAGTCAATAAGCTTAAATATTGGGCCTCTTTCCCATCACTTCGAAATCCCTTTTTTCGATTGTCATCTAAAAGGGGCGTGCCCAATCTGCCCAATGAAATGTTGTTTAAATTACTCGACTCCTGTCTTGTAATTTCAGCTGATGCCACTTCTGTTTCCGCATTTTGTTAGCCATGTGTCATTAAGGTTAACGCCATGCTGAGGCACGCCCACAAGTTCTATAATTTGGTGCTATCAACTGAGAGCAATCTTTATTTGTCGGCGCGTGTGTGTTTTTTTTTTTTTGTGTTAGATAATGATCATATTTGTCTTGTTTGGCAGCTACTAAAATGTTTTTTGGCAATAGAAAATAACTAAAGAAAATGTTAAATTTGTCTTTAATGAAAAAGAAGGAACCCTTTCCATTTCCATTAATGACTGTCATTTTATTGATAAACTGACAAGGGTATAAGTCCAGCCTAGGAGAAAACTGAATTTTTTTGTGTTTTCTCTTTCCCTTAAAATTCAAAACCTAATGTGTGATTTCTTACACCCAAACGTAAAAATTAAAATAAAGTAAGAAAAAAGGGGCGAAAACCCCTTACCATAAACCGAATAAATGGACTCTTACATTAACTACAGTTTACCGAGTTCAAAAGTTGAAGAAAGGATAGGCAATGTCTACACCAACACATTAAACAAAAAAAATTGATTGACAATTATTGATATTTTATGAGTTTTCTTCGACAAAGTAACTGATTTCCTTTTGATACGGGTGACACGGGTCTTGTGTTGACATTAGGCGTACAACTTTTGTACAAAAAGAGTTTTCTTTCGAACTTCCTTTGAATATGTGTGAAAACGGCCTTTTTAAGCATGTATTCTTGTTCGGCATATATACTTAATTACGGTGTAATTATAGCATACCTCCTTTCCACTGCCGAAATATTGTAATAATAACTTAATTGACAAAGTTTTTCAAAATTTTTTTCAAATTGAAAACACATTCATTGAGCTATATTTTTTATAAACTTACCTGTTCTGTATATAATTACGCGATCACGATTTTCAATTTAAATCTTAATAAGCTTAAACCGAAATTCAATGTAATATTTTTATTCAAAAATATTTAATAGAGTCAGTGCACTGATTTAACTTGAATTTACTTTCCACACTGTCCGGAATTCGAGAAAAAGTGCTTTGAAAAGTTTTTCAATTAGCTTGGGAATTCGGATCAATGAGAGCGCACAAATGTATGCCACGCTTTTTTCACCTCAAAATTGACTGAATGATTGACAACTGGCAAAACGGGTTACTCAACAACGCACTAAAAACGTTTAAAAACTATGTTTTTTGAAACTGTTTTAACGGTTGCAAGGCTGATTCGTTGGTGGTAAGTTGAGATTCCTTCGAAGCGCGCCGAACGAATGCAACGGCCACGAGGCCAACGACTTGTTTTATAGCCAGCCGTAAAGGCCGAATTCCTACCGAGTCGAAACGAAGTTGATGGTGTCGGCATTCAGTTCAACTTCAACTGGTTGCTCCTGTTGCTTCTTCAACCGAAAGCTTTCCCTCCCTGCCGGCTATCCGCGGTTCGCGTCCTGACTAATAGGGAACACTTGGCCGCCCACGCATTTTTAGTACTCACTTTTTGGGGTTTAAAATGGGTGTTTTGTTTTTGGTATGCAGATTGTAAAATATATACTTTCAAGTATAATTAATATATATTAAATAATAATGTATAGTCATATTTTTATGAAAAATTATGAAAAAATAAAAAATCGATTTTATGACGAGTTCAATAAGGTATGACAATCTTAATTCCGCCTAATATTTCTATACTTATGGCTAAAATCCTGACTTTCGGCCGGAAAATGACGATTTGTACCTTTTTGGTAAGGGGCAAGGTAACTTTTTTTTGGAAAACTTTGAAAAAAATTCTTCTTAGGTTGGAATGCCAATCGATAGAAAATCTTTTAACGAGTTTTCTTAGTTTTGGTACAACGAGTACAGGATATCCCGTAGCCGGTACTCCTTATGAAAGCTTTCTTTGTTTTTGTTGTCCTGACTGTTGCCGTAGTGACGTCAGCGGGTCGGGGACGCGTTGATTTAAAGCTGTGCTAGCTGGCTGCCATTCGCTGGTTTCGGAATTGGCCAAGTTGTTGTAGAGCTGTGTTGTTGTGGACCTGGTCACCTACGCACACACATTGGTAGGCGGCGCCTACGCTGAACACCTAAATCAGTGAAGGATACAGATAGTCGCACATTTCGTCCTTTATTCGTTCATATTTGTTGTCCGATTTAATCATACATTCGAGCTGCTCATTTTTGACCAGTTGTCCCCTTATTAAATTTCCATTTTGCAGCTGTATTTGCATTTCACATTTGACATTTAGCGCCCTAATGAGTACTGAAGTCGCTTAAAATGAAAAATAATCTGCTTTTGATGGTAATGGTAAATAATAGGCATGCGGCACTTGGTTCGATCGAAAAATCACATTTCTTGCTAAGAGAAAAATCACTTTTCAAGCAATCAGTGAAATAAACAATCACACAGAAATTCACTTGTAGCTTGGTAGTCCATAAAAATATAAGGTGTTCCACTTTCTGGAAACTGCTTATCTTGATTAAGTTTTGTTTGTGAAACAAAAAGCCTTTCATTATCTCTTCTTGTTATTTAACGCTAATTCAAATCGATAATATGTCACTTTAAACTTACAATAGAATTGGTTGGGCGGTACTGATAAGAAATCTATCAAGCAAGACCACATAAGAATTATCTATCTTTTATACACTAGCCTACAATTTTTCGAATTGTTGTCTTTATAAAATATTTAAATGAAAAAATTGTTCATAGCATAAACTAAAATAGTCTCAATCGGCAAACCATTTGAGTAGGAATAATACTTTATAGATATATACATTTTTAAAAATTTCAGTTCTTTAAATTTTAATTTTGTTCGCTAGTGTGATATGCAACTAATTTGATAAGAAAGTTTTCGACCAGCCTATATAAACTCACAGAACAAAGACACTCTCTTTAGTTAAAATTCTACCGGCAAAAGAAAAGAAAACAAGTTGTCAATCGCATTCACAATGGCTTTAAACACAAAAGATGGTATCACCATACGCATTATGACCAAGGAGGATTATAAAGATGTGAAAGCCTTTATGACGGATGACTTTTTTCTATCGGAGCCCTTGTGCCAATCCTCTGGAGAAAGGGTTCACCATCAAAACGAGAAGGAAAATGATGAATATCACCTTTCGATGATCGCTCAGGGAACCTGTTTGGTGGCTCTGGATGAAAACAATGGTGGTCGACTGGTGGGATTCGTCCTGGCAGGAGCTCAGTTCCCTGAGGATGTGGAGAAGCATCGGATCGAGGCGGAGGCCATGGAGAAACACACTTGGGGTCGAATTTGCGTACTCCTATCCAAAATTGAAATAGAGGCGAATCTCTTCGAGCGATTCGGTATTTCCAAAGTTCTCTATTCCCACATTACCAGTGTGGATACTTCGATGAGGGGCAAAGGTCTTGGTTCCCGCCTCGCGGAAACCCTGATGGAAGTGGGTCGATCCAAGGGATTCCCCGCAATGGTGGCCTACTGCACCAGTTTCTACTCTGCCCGGCAGAAGGAGGCCCTCGGGATGCAGTGCATCCACTCCCTCGTCTACGCGGACTACAAGGACGATCAAGGACGACCGATCTTCACGCCTAAAGCACCTCACAAAATGGCGCGAGTTATGGCCATAAAACTGTGAAAGGTGCTAGTTAATAACAAGAAAATAACAAGATAATTCAAAGTTATGCAATATATTCTTCGCCCCCTTAGTTTTGTTATAAATTTTGTTTTACACATTAAAGTAAGATGATTTGTTAAAAAACACTCGTAAAAAATGAATATTTGCTGACGGTTTTTATTGAGTAGAGAATTTACTCTATTAAAATTAGATTAATTGATTAGTTTTGTATTAAAATTAATCTTTTACATTACCTGTATTTTACATAGTTGGAAAGAATCATGATGCATATTTTACATGCTGGCTTATTCACTGCTAAAACCAGCTAAAGCTCTTAAAAGCACAATCTGCAGTATTTCCAAAAATACTTTCTACGTCCGCATGAATCTCGTTTTAAAAGTTTTTACAAGGGACTAGACCAGTGTTTCCCAAACTTGTCGGGACCGCGACCCACCTACACAAAAAATTGCAAGATCTATATGGCAATTCGTACCCACCAAAAATCTACCCGCGACCCACCAGTGGGTCGCGACCCACACTTAGGGAAATACTGGACTAGACAGTTAATACGGTGGTTATTTCATAAACTTTTTACTAACATAAAAAAAAATATAAATTTACTGATAAAAACTCATTAATACGAAATTTAACTGGTTTTAAGTAACTGATTGGTGCGGAAGTACCTAAAATTTTTGTTTAATACTTAATACTTAATATTTTAATAAATGCTTTTATTGCATACAATCTTTACAAAAAATTGATCTGTTCGAAATCTGTCTTTGTTTTTCCTACCTTCATGTTTGTGTAAAGCTGCAGTGGGTGGAGTTTACAATGTCAACACTTTACACCCACAGGTTCTCACCTTGTGGCGAAAAAAAATCGATTTTTTTTTTGCGCTTATCGTATAGATATATGTTCCAAAAATGTTTTCAAAAAATTTCAGATCCAAATGTGCAAAATTACAAGAGTTACAGGATCTTATATGGAGCACATGTCGAGCACCGGCCATTGGAAGCCAAAACTTTAAACGCGTTTATTCTCGGAACCACGTTTTCGGACCTTACGGAAGTAATTGAAGGCGTTGGGGTTAACCAATTGTAACCAAATTTTGTGCTATTTTTCGGCCCGCAAGGTAAGAACCTGCCTTAAGTTCTTCAGCCCAGGGGCCATAAGTCGGCGACTCAATTAGCAAAAACTCCCGATCGCAGACCACCGTGTTATAATCATGGGAAGGTGTGAAAAATCGCGCGATTGCGGGATTAATTGAACACGCATCAAAAGAATCTGATTTTGATAGTTATGGTAATAAGAATGCATGCGGCACTTGGTTCAAACGAAATATCACACTTCTTGCTTAGAAAAAAGAAACTTTCTAAGCAATCAGTGGAACAATAAAACGCACACAAATTCACTTGCAGATTGGTAGTCCATGAAAATATAAGGTGTTTCAGTTTCTAAGGAACTGCTTATCTTATATGATGTTTTTGATGTTTATAGCCACCACGAACTAAACCGAAATACGTATGTCCGTTTCTATGTAAACTTGTCTCTCAGTTTTAAAGCTATCTTGCTGAAACTTTACCAAAATTTGTGTAGTTATTGCACACAGTAGATAAGTCGGAACGGGCCTGATCGAAAAGATCGAAAAAAATATATATAAATAATGAAAAAAATTATAACGTCGTTGTTTTTTATCCCACGAGCATAAGAACATAGAATTTCCTAAGGAATCTTGAATTTCGTATTAAATTTCATAAGAATCGAACGACTATATCATATAACTGTCATAAAAACAATGAACAATATAAAAACTTAATAGAAAAATCGACTTACAAGTAGATTTTTGATGTCTGCAAGGGTATATAAGCTTTGGCTTGTTGAAACTAGGTTCCTTGTTTGTTTTAAGATTGGAATTGAATTGGTTAGGGGTGATAAGAAATATGTATAGCAAGACCCCCTAATGATTATCTTATACACACTAGTTAACCATTTAAAGAAAGTTTTCGACCAGTACATATAATCTCACAGAACAGGTTGCACACGGTTCAGTTAAGATTCTACCGGCAAAAGCAAGTAACGCATTTAAAATGACTTTAAACACAAAAGATGGTATCACCATACGCATTATGACCGAAGAAGACTACAAAGACGTGAAAGCCTTCATGAAGGATGACTTTTTCCTATCGGAGCCCTTGTGCGAAACCTGCGGAGAAGCTGTTGACCGTCAAAACGAGAAGGAAAATGATGAATATCACCTTTCGATGATCGCTCAGGGAACCTGTTTGGTGGCTCTGGATGAAAACAATGGTGGTCGACTGGTGGGATTCGTCCTGGCAGGAGTTCTTCTTCCCGAGGATATAGAGAAGCATCGGATTGAAGCGGAAGAAATAGAAAAACATGCTTGGGGTCGAATGTATGTACTCCTAACAAAAGTTGAACGCGAAGCGAATCTTTTCGAGCGATTCGGCATTTCCAAAGTGCTTTTATCCAACATTACCAGTGTGGGTGCTTCGATGAGGGGCAAAGGACTTGGCTCTCGACTTGCCGAAACCTTGATGGATGTGGGTCGATCCAAGGGGTTCCCCGCAATGGTGGCCTACTGCACGAGTTTCTACTCCGCCCGGCAAAAGGAGGCCCTCGGGATGCAGTGCATCCACTCCCTCGTCTACGCCGACTACAAGGACGATCAAGGACGACCGATCTTCACGCCTAAAGCACCTCACAAAATGGCGCGAGTAATGGCCATAAAACTGTGAAAGGTGCTAGTTGATAACAAGAAAGTGACAAAATAATTCAATGTTATGCAATATATTCTGCGGCCATTAGTTTTGTTAAAAAAAAATCTGTTTTAGACATTAAAGTAAGTTTTTTTAAAAAACACTCTTAAAAGATTGGTTTTTAATTTTTTTTTTAAATTTTATTTTTAAAATTGGAACTGATTAGCATTAATCATTAAATCTGTGAAAAATGAATTCAATGATTAGTTTATGTAAAAGCTTAATTTTTACATTACTTGTATTTTACATAGCTGATGTATATTTTACATGTTGGCTCATTTACTGCTAAAACCAGTTAAAGCTTTTTAAAGCACAATATGCAGTTTTTTCAAAAATGTTTTGTGCGTCTGGGATGAAGTTTGTTTTTAAAATGTTTACAAATGACTAGGCAGTTAATATACTAATTATTCCATAAACCATTTATCAAGAAAACAAAAATAAATAACTAAACATAAATACTGATAAAAACTGATTAATACGAATGAAAGTACGGAAATTTTATGTTAAATATTTAATAAATTTTTTATTTCATACAATCTTTACAAAAAATAGATCTGTTCGAGATCTGTCTTTGTTTTGCGACCTTCATGTTTGTCTAAAGCAGCAGTGGGTGGCGTTTATAATGTCAACACTTTACACCCACTCTGGTTTAGTATCTCATCAGCAGACCTCCCGCACAACCTTAGGCCAACTACCGAATAAAAAACACTCAACACTCAACAGCCGACGCATATCAATTAAGTACTCCAGCCCAGCGGCCATAACTCGACGGCTCAATTAGCCAAAACCCCCGACCACAGACCACCGCACCGCGATACAATCATGGGAAGGTGTGAAAAATCGCGTGGAAGCGGGATTAATTGAAAACGCATCACTCCCATCGAAGTCCCGATTCTGTTTGGCAGGATGGGGTCGCATCGTTAACTATGATTTGCAGGCCGTGCAACAGGCAAAGTCTCGTTACGTGCCACTTTTTTTTTTTTTTTTGTGCTCCTGCTGGGTGGAAGACCCCATGGATAATGATAATTTCGCATGACGCTTTCCGCTTACCGCTTTCCGCTCGACTGCCGGCCGTTGTTAAATTTTATCGCCAAAACATGACGGCGAAATCAATTTTTATTATTTTATCATCATCGACGCCTGCTTAAGCCGCTTAAAGAATCTTCTTCTCCTTCTTAGGCGGCAGTGGAGGCGAGACTCTATCTCATAACTAAGCCCAATCATTGGGGACCTGGACCAACATCCCCAATTGGAATATCTCAACATCCTAGACTCCCGGCAGAACAATAGAGTGGTCGAGTGGTCGAGTGGCCGGCACTTCGACCTCAACAATGCGCTAAATCATTATCAGTAATTATGCATTGTTCGCCCCCTGACAATGCAACTCATCTGCGAGGATATATACGAGTATACTATATATCTGTAGGTATAGCATGCGGTCTGCCTATCTGCCTTTCTGTTGCGCTTTTCCCTTTTCATTTGTTTCCTCTTCTATTTTGTTTTTTATACTTTTTGATTGATTTCGCTGATTGCAGTTGGCCTTGAGCTGGCCTTGTGCTATTAATAAAAGCAGGTGGGGCCACCCCCTCCCCTACCCCCTTTCCCTCCCCTCAAACACCTCAAACACTGTGCAGCCAGGAGATGCATAATTTGTGTGCTGCGAGCAAACATTTTATGCAATTAAATATGCTGCTAATGCGATTCGCAGATACGTCAAACAAACTACAGCCTGGGTGAGCAAAATAGGGGCCGAGATGTTGTCTTATTTGGCTAGTAATTTCCAAATTAAGTGATAACGCACTCGAGGGGGCCTAAACGAGCGGAGATACGACTCATAAATCACTCAACTGTTGCTCCTCCAACGAGGGTTTGTGTATTTGCTAAGGGCCCAACAGATGGAGGCCCTAATCTTCAGGAGGTTGGGATAGGATGGCCAAAAGCTAAGCAATAATAGCTTGCACGGGTAGGTGTTTAAGTTCTGTTCTCCTTGTTATCAGATCCTAAAAAATTTAAAAGTAATTTATATATCACAAATGAATAATGATTTTTTTTAACCATTTAACCCTGAAATTAAAATAGAGATTTACAGATAACCAAAATGTTAAATCCTTTCTTAATATCAGTGACTACTCTCGCTGGTCTTTAAACTACAAAAGATTCGCTTTTAAAACTTTGTTCCCGTGCAAGCACACCTAAAGAAATTTTTTAATTTATATATTTCAATATACATTGAAATAAATAAAAATATTTAATTTGCTTTAAGAAATATTTAAGTTAAATGAACAATACAAATATAATTCAAGCAGTTGCTAACAACTCTTACAAAGATTATAAGTATTTATATACAATAAAATAAATATGTACATTTCGTAAGCTTTTCTGCTTATAATATAACTATTATGGAATTTTTTTACCTAGAAATATTTTTTTTTGAAGATCCTTTGTCGCAGTGCACGGTTGACGTTCTCGGGCAATAAATTAAACTGCATTTGGCTATTTTTGTGGTCATTAGGCACGACTGCACTTTGTCTGCTTTTGGTCTTGGCGTCCTACAACCGATGGCCCGTCGACCAGCTCGGTCGGCCGATTGTCTCTCAGTTGGCCAGAACCGTAGGACCCAAAAGCCAAGCAGGCCACTATCTGCCACAAGTTTTAATGAAGTCTCGCCCGAAGCCGAAGTTCTGCGAGTATAGCCACATGTCTGCCGGAGATGCGGAGGTAAGCTGAGTTATGCCTCATGTGGAAATGGCATTATGAGTTATGTGTTATGTGTCTGTGGTTCCGCGGAGGATGGCTTAATTTCTCGTCCTCTCCCTTCGAAATTTCACCCACAGTGCCGCAGTTCAATTAACATAATTAATGCGCTCATCTGTGACGTCTCGTCTCGTCTCGTCTCGTTTGCTGGAATCTTTTTTGGATCGGTTTACGCATTGTTACAACTCAATTCGAGTTGCTTGCACCTCTGACACCTCGCTTAATGAACAATTAACTGGAACTGCGCTTTAAGCCTTTTCGCCGAACCTCTGACCCAGCGGCAAACACGAGGAATCATTTATTTCTGGCCTCACCTGAGGTGTAATTGTTTTGCCACCTACTTAATGATTCGGTTGTAATGCGATTTTCACATGAGCAAAGTATAATTATGATTGGAGCTGTTCTTGTGCCTCTTCGCATCTTCTCACATTTTCAAGTCCATGGTTCTATTTTAGGTACTTGGCTTTTATTACACCTCTTATTGTTGCTACAAGGTTAAAGGGGCAATCAACAAGTAAAGAAACCTTTTTGATTGGGCTCTTCCGCTAACTAAGAAGATAACTTAAGAAGATAAGGAAACCAATATTTGGCACCCTCAAAAATGCTTTAAAAATATATTTTAAATACATTTTATTCCCTATACTTGTTCACTTTATACAATTTAAGTGCAAATTAAGTAGAGACCCATAATAAACTTAAAATAAATGTTTCAATGTTCAAAGTTTGATTGACAACTAGCAGTTTCTATTCGTTTACATTAAAATTCTCTAACGAACCTCTAGTTGTGCATAAAGTTTGCAAGCCATGAAAACAAATTTCTCGTTGTTGAAAAAGTTGGAATCTTTTAAGCATTCAGGACCTGAGCTAATGCATGTTATAAAGTTTTACTCTCCAGATGCTTGGCAAGTTTTATGACTGCTTTTCGTGGCTCTAAAAAGCGACAGTTGAGCATGTTTAGCTGCCGTTAGGTGGGCATATTAAATGACTCCTGGCGGGTTAATAATCCCCCGTTCAAGTCGGGACCATTTGTCAGTTTTGAATTTCATCTTATTCGGTTGATGAGGGGAGGGGGAGGGGTGATTCAGGGGAAGGGGAAGGGGGGACCACCAAGGAGTGCACTTGAGCAACAATTTCAGATTGCACTCAATGTTAAATGGGCGCTCGAAAAAGGTGACGATGGGTTTAAGCAGCCGAGCGGACATGTGTGAAATATGATATGCTCATTAAGGCTCTTCGCTGCTCTCGTCCTTTTGCCATCCAACCATCCGACCATCTGAGTGCCACGCCCACTTCTCGACCCCAGCCCGCCCAAGGCGCCACGCAAGTCAAGTGCATAAATAAACGACTGGCTGCCTCTTAATGAGAAAGATGACGAGGGATGCGATGCGGCGTACTCGTACTTATAGTATACACCTGCCGCCCGTCTGCGTTTGTGATATATCATCCGGTTGCCGGTTGTACGCAGGCAAGGACACCTGACAGAGCCTCCCCCTGCCACTTATTCTGCCACCCAACCACCCATTCTGCCACCCATTCAACCACCCTGCCACCCAACCACCCACTCAACCACAGCTTTGGGTGAGAAAATGTAAAGCAGTGGGACAAGCGGGAATCTGGCCTTCAGTCAACTGGTTTTCACCGCTCCTTCTGGCTGGCAATCCTTTTGGTTTTTACACATTCCATTCCAGCAGATACTCTGTTTTTACTGGGTAAAAATAATAAGGGATTCCCTGGGAAAAACAAAACAAATATAAGAGAAATCACTGCAAAGAAGATTTATTTGCAAGTTTGTCAAAAGAACGATAAGAATATAAACCACATTTACACACACTTTCAGAAAAGGAATTTGTATTCTTCTATTATTCAAGATATCTTTTTTCCACCTACTTCTATTTGACCACTAATCAACATGAATACCCGAGCATATATATCACAAAAATATTTCAAAAGCCATCGCAAGCAAACACTTTCGCGCACGATCACTTGAGAAAAGCATCTATAATATATCAATCTCACCGAATCCCACTTCAGTCAGCTATTCTGGTTTCCCCTCGTTTTGTCTCAGCGAATTTGTTGTTACAGTGCGTGGTCAATCGGCATAATAAATCATTATAACGCCCACCGAGGCCCAAACTCCGATCACCGATTAAGTCATCATCAGAGCAGAGGGCCAGAAAACCGAGAGCCAAGTAAGTGGATAAAGCGACTTGGCCGAAAGATCTACGCTGGAAAACAATGCGTCGTCGTCATTATTGGCGTGCCCAAAAGTCGCCTTGGGGTCAGGGTCGGGCTCGAACCCGGGTTCGGGCCAGGTTCTCTAGCTCTCTAGCTTTTTTTTTACTCCATCGGGGTCTATTGACGCCAGTGGAGCGCCGTCGGGGCAGCTTATTTAAAATCTAATAGAGATTTAATCTGTTTGACTTAGCAATGAAGTCATTTAGAATGTAAATATTGAACGGAGGAAAGATCGTTTCGGCAGCGAGTTTGCAAAGCGATTTATGAATGCAGAACAAAAGGAAAGGAATAAACCTTTTAACTTGAAAAAGAAAATATTTTAAGCTTAAATGATGCAATCTTTAAACTTATTTTGTCCGTTGTACTGCACACTTCCTCAATTACAGTTCTTGCCTAATACCAATTGTATCATTTTCAATACATCTCCTTCTCCAAAAGTGGATTACATTTCCTTTATGCATTTATTACTACAACTATTATTATCGCCTGCCTTTGGGGCACCTGTTGAACTCGCAATATTATTTACCTACATCTCAATCGAAGCCATAATCATAATATTTACACCTTTCTCCAGCGCTCTTGTTCGCTGGCGGCTTCCGCTCTTCAATGGAGGAAACAGGAATACTCGAATGCAAATCAATTGAAAACACAAATAGAAAATGTGCCTGAAAGCAGTGGAGCAAAGAGTGTGCCTTAATAAAACTAGGAAAAACACCGTTAACAACACCTACAATACACCCACAAACTTGCAATAGAAACTACACCAAAAGAAAATATAAACCTTCATACTTATAATTAAAAGATCGGATTAATTTTGAATTAAATTGTTTCTCAGGTGATAAGAATTAACTTGTTTAAAATGTCAAAGACCTTCTGCAATATCGATCAGTATTGATTGATTCGACTCTATTTTGTGGCAGTGCCGAGGTTGCAAGTAGAAGCCTTACGATTCTCGTGGCCTGGTGTGAATTTATTGCTTAATCATGCGCCATTTTAGCCGCACAGCTGAAAGCTGAATGGCAAATGTAAATGTAAATAAACTGCAAGAGCAGTTGGCTTACCCAAAGGGGTTTTGGGTTCGCTTTTAACAAGGCGAGTGCTTGTCTAACTGGACGCGTTCCGTTTTATTTGCTGGCCATATTCTACGCGATTTTCCGGGTAGGCGTTGCTGGTAGCAAAAGGTGTTAGGAAAAGGTACCAAAAACGAAAAAAAAAAAAAAAAAAAAGAGAAACACATGGTGAATTTGTGGCTGCAACTCTGTGTGCCGTTTGTTTTATTCGCCGGGTGGACGTGGGCGCTGGGTAAACGCTGCAATTAATATAAGGCACATGCAACACGAGCAGCAGCAGCAGCAACAGCAACAGCAACAGCAACAGCAACAGCAGCAACAGCAACATCAACAGCAGCAGCAGCAACTCAAGCAGCAGCAGCAGCAGCAGCAACATCAACAGCAGCAGCAGCAACTGAAGCAGCAACAGCAACTTGTACAGCAGCAACAGCTGGCCCACCCACTCAGCAGCAACTTGCAACTTGCAACATGTTCGATTCGAACTCGTGTTGCTCCCGGCGAGCAACTAACTGCAAACTTAAAGCTTGTCGCCAGTCGCCAGTCTAAAAACAAGTTTCTCCGCGTGCGGTTGCCGCCTCGCTCGATTCCGATTTCGAATTCAATTCAATTTTTTGGCTTGGCCCACTGACAAAAAAAAAAAAAACCAAATCGAAAACAAAGCCTCATTGCGGCCCATTTAACCGATGCGAAATTAGTACGTTGTGTAAAGTAGTAAAGGCATTATTTTTGTGGAAACACCAAAACAGTGTGGGTTTTTAACCCAATTAATTACAGAAAATTACCGCCGTGTTTGTAATAAATATTTTTGAAAAATCTTCCCCAAAGTGCAGCGATTGCACTAGTGATTGTGTGTTTGTGCCCGAGAAATCGTTTGTAGAACGCTAACAGGTAAAACAACATCAACATCAACTCAAGCGGCCAGCGAGCGATGTCGGTGAATAAAACCATTAAAATGAAGTTAAAGTCGCTCCCGAGCTGCATACAAATGGAGCTGTAAATAAGCAAACAAACATTGCAGCTGCTGGTAAGTTTCAATTGCCTGTTGGGCTTTCGTTAAGGTCGGGGTGTTGGCCAGATGTGGAATAAATCATAATTAGTGCGGGGGGCTCTGGCTTTAAAATTGGGTTACGGGTACAGCGGAAACTTAGGTGTGGGAAACTCGGTAAATTGTCTTTATTTGTGGAACTATTTCGAAGCGAGTTGATTGTGGCTTTGTGCTGAGTGTGTATACTTATCGCATTAGAAGGTTTAAGGAGCTGCAAACTCAAGATATATAATTCAAGACTTTTGAAAGTCGGTTCACACCTTCCAAGTCGTGTTTAAATTATTGAACTTAAACTTTGGCTTGTACTTATTTAAAAGGTTTTTAAATTCATCAAATTAAACTTAAGGCTTGCAAACTTTGACAACTTTATTCCTTGTTTTTCTCGTTATTCTCAGCTTTTTGCCAACATTTCAGCAGTGTTTTTTTTGCGAAAAAGTTTTCGCGGTTGAGAGTTCGCATTATGAGTAAATATGGGGTTTGAAGTCAGGGCAGGTAAAAATTGTAACAAATTTGTTGGTGTGCAGTAAGAAAACCATTTTCGCAGGTGGAACCATTTCCAAGAATATATTTTAAGCTCTCTTTTGGAAGCCGTTAGTACTGGTTTGGGCCGAAGTTCCTTGACTCGAACAGTACTATGCTGTTCTGTTCTGCGTTGTATTAGCCAAGTGGCAAATTTGCAGTGTCTGTGGAAATTATTTCTTGACAGTTGCTAATAAACCTGCCTACTTCATGGGCACAGCTCGCAACGCTCATTACTCATGCCAAATCTTCTGTCACTTCACACCTTCTCCGGGCCAATTCTCCGGTTAACTTGTCAACAAGGGAGTATAAGTGTGTGTGTGTGTGTGTGTGTGTGTGTGTGCGTGAGCTCTTAAGCCTTATGCAACAGCCCAAATTAGCCATGCAATTTGTACTTAACTATGTGAAGCGTCTTGCCGGTAAGAGAATGCGGGGTAATGGCTTCTCTACAGAGGCGGGAATAATAAAATGGCCAAGGACTTGAAGCGGACAGGCGACAAGTTTATCACTTGTTAAGCCAAACGCTGCAGACATGCATCCCCCATACCCATCCTCGTCCTGATTCCCTATCCACTATCCTCCCATTGCAACTGCAACTCCATCTCCATCTACAGCTCCAAACTCCTATTCCCGCCGACATCCAAGAGATTCTGCTTTGGGAATCCGACTCCAGACGACGTCGGCGTCGAGTGGCAGGCCCAGATGGGCGCGGCAGATAAGCAACTGGGCCCAGACCCAAAAGGCCAGACAAAGAATAGGGCGTACTCGGTCCGATCCCATTTGCATGGCTGAAAGTCTGCTGAAGTGGGCCACTCTGGAGGCCCCCAATGAAAGCGGATATCGCAGCGAGTACACAGAGACAAGAAACTAAGCGCTTCTTACCCTAACCTATTCATTCATCGGAGATTAAAGCTTCCACGGCACAGAGAGATCAATTTGTTTAAAGTATTCCAGGGCTTTGTTCTTACCTTGATTGCTGAGGTGATAAACAATAAAATATTACTAGTCAAAAGATTGATAGCGGTTGCCATTTATTTGTAATGCCAGGCCAACTCTTAGAGAAGTATACAGATTCCTCCCAGATCTTATAACTTTACCTCTAAATGTTTGTTATTAAATTCTGAAACGATCTCCATTTAAAATTTTCCAATCCCAGGGGGTCCATTTTTTGACCCCTGTTCATGTCATATTTTTCCAAGTTTCCGATCACGTAACTTCAGCAATTTTAAATACTTGAGTTTAACGATCATATACGATCCCTAACACGGAAGTTTTATAATAAAATAAATTAGATGTCGTTTTTTGTGCTCAGTTAGCCATCAAGTAAAACGTTTCGGGCAAACTTTGTCACTTGCAATGGTGTAATATTCATAATGCCAATTTTAAGCCAATCGCAGGCCATTTTTGGGTATCTCTTGGCAGCTGGGACTTGAACTTAAATCCAACGAGATGCCGCCGACCTTTATGGGATATCATCCACAAGCAGGCACCCAAAATAGAGGATTTCGCAGACGCAGCTGCTTGTTTTCGAACCGAGACGTTTAAATAATGGCCTCAAATGGTTTGGGTGACAATAAAGAAGAGCCAAGAGACTCTGCCACAAGTGAAGAGTGCCAACGAAACAGCCAGCATCGGCTATAAATAGTTGGCAAAAGAGTCAGGAAGCAAGTGTCAACTCGAAAATTACGTATACGCAGACATCACAGCTCGTCGATAGTGAGACTTGAGTTTGCTTTCGTTTCCGCTGTTGAATCGATTGTGTTGACTTTTCCATTTTCCAATTTCCAATTTTCATTTCATTGCTCGTCTCGGACGGCGTCAGTGCTGTTTATGATCATTTAATTGACATGCTACCTGGCAGCTGGAACTCTTCTGGGAATACAGCCATTGATTAAGGCCATCGGCCATAATTGATTGTAAGCAGCTTGAATTGGGCAAGTCAGTAAGTAAAATCTCATTGTCAAGATCATCTTGACGGGAGTCCACATTATGTTGGATGTGTACATAATCTTGGATAGCATTTTGCGAAATTGCTTATCAATGTCACTCACATGCAACGTGATTTTGGCATCTATTTCCATTTTAATTAAAGCTTCTGTCCATAAATGCCAAAGCATATGCAAACGTTATGGGAAAAGTTGTCAACAAATTTCCAATCAACTTGCTTGTGCAGCTGAGAAAGGAATTGCAGATATGTTCTACACTTTAAATTAAAATAATTGATTCGACATTTAAATTAGTATTTTAATGAATACAAGCAATAAATATTTTATTTAAACAAATCTTTATTTTGAGTGTACTGAATAATATAAGAAAAGTAAAGCAATCAATTAATCTCACTAGAGCTACTACCTAACTTTACCTACTTTATTAGCCAGAACACTCTGCAATTAACTCTTACAAATCTATTAGGAAAAGTTTTCCCAAGAAGCTCGACCAATTAGCATTATTAAAGTGCTGCTCTCTTCGCACGGCTAAAGTCCTTCCCCCTTGTCAGTTTATAAGAACAGGTGGGTAAACAATGTTAGTCACTCCTTTGGATTGGCCCGAGGTCGTCACTTTGATTTGCACAAAGTATTTGCGAGACACAACGACAATGGAATTGCTTTTACGCAACTTTAATTAGCAGGACAAACAAGCTGTCTTGGCACGCCAGGAGGTTTTACCTTTGATTTTACTTCACTCCTCTCCGATCCACTCCTTTCCCTCGATAGAGAGTCCATTGGATCGTTGTTTTTCCCCACTGCCGGACAAACCCCGTTGACAAACGTTGTAAAACAAGGGAAGCGGGAAATGGGAAATGGAAAAGGGGCGGGGAAAATGTGACACTGAAAATATGCTTAAACAAAGCCGGTGGTGAAATTTAATTAAAATGTTGCCTGCAAAACCATTAAACTGTCGATATGTAAAACGCGTTTTCCTTTTTCGGGCAGATGCTGCGTATGCGTAATTTTTTGCCTATTACCAGCAATTAAAACGGGCATCTTATTAGCCAGCTTGCTAATTGAATTTTTGGCCACCCGGGGAGATTCCCCCGGGGTTTGGCTGCTTTTGAGGGGCCTCTGATTTTGGCAGTCACTGACCTTTCTTAGTTTTCCTTTCGCACGTGCCCCGAAAAATTGATAAGCCATAAATATTCGTTATGTCTGGCGAGCAACAGTTTGGCCAGTTTGGATACCCAGAAAAACATAAAAGGGATGTCGGTCTCCCAAAACTTCCTTTCACCCGCATTATCCCCTTTTTTAGACCCGTCTGCCTCGATTGTAACTCAAACAGAAGGGCTAACAATGAGCACGAAAAGTTTTGTTCTTGCGAGATTCCTTCTTACGCTTCATTAATTTAATGCTGTTTTTTCAATAAATTTTCCTTCTTTCCAATTCGGTGGCAACAAAGAGCGATTCGGACACGCTTATGCTAATCCCGTGGAATTTGCATTCCAATTTTTCTTCATATTTCCACGGCTTCCTGGTTCTCCACCAGGAAGTGATTTCGGAGATAGAAATTCTTCATGAAAAGTGCATAATTTATTTAGCTAAAGGCATGGATATATTAGAAATTAAGTTTAAGCAACAGTTGTTGTACCTCTTATAGTTCTTGTTTTATTATCAAAAGTAGTTCTTAAGTAAACAATTGTTTGCATTTATTTCCAATGGTGACAAGATACTTTCTTCCACTATTTCCGCTTGCTTTTCAATTATTGATTTCGTTGACCGAATCGGTCGTTGGTTGAATTTATTTAGCATGAACCCGACATGCCAGACTTAACCCTTTTTAATAACAAATGCTTCTGGGGGGTCAGGTGGGGTCCCATCAAACGTTTCTCGTACTCCGCTTGACTGGCTGTCTGTCACGATTTCCCCGAGAACTTATGACTTCCCGGGATGAGTGAAATGTTTCAGGTAAACGACATTGCTAAAACATGAACTCAGATCACATAAGTGGTTTCGGTGCTTCGGGGTGACGGGGCGGGAAAACAACTTGTTTAAAATGGTATTAAGTGAACTCCGGCAGGAATGGCTTGGCCCTTCGCTGAATATTCTTTATTGGAGCGTGAGCCACCGTCCCACCCGTCATCCCATTCTCGTGCAGTTGGCACTCTGTCACGCTTTGATTGAGTTTAGCCGGGATTTTCCAGCTGCCAGGGGGGCCATCCATCAATGCTGCTGACCCCCTGAACGAAAAAAGTTAAAACACTGCACGTCTTTCCTGCTTTGAGAACTAATCAAGCTCACCAGCAGAATGGTTGTATTTATATCATTGTTTACAGTAGAGCAACTCCTCGGAAACTTACATAAAATGAATAGTTTGATAAAATAAACAATAATATAATAATAATTATCTCAGAAAAAAATAGTTTCGTAAAGGTAAACTTTCTTACCTTTTTCTTTACTGATCAGTGAATGATTTTTACTGCCTTTGGTTGCAAAACCATAAAGAACTTAAAACCATTAAACTAAATC